CAAAGCCAATAAACTTCTGCCTGTGAGGCCTCTGTTTGTTTGAAGAAAGTTTACAAGCCCCATTATTAGGAGGAGACAGAAAGAGTGAATAAGCAGACCAATATTATTAGAAAGCACACTTGTTTCCGTAACTAAAAGTGTTTTTCAGTCATAGGTGTCATAACATAATGAGGACTGGAGAGTTTATGCGTTTATTAATGTCTGGTGCGAATTCGTATGACACGGTAGAGCTCCTTGTGATGTCATCTGAAAGGTTTCTTCACAGTCATATTGTGATTCACACACAGTGTGTATGTGGTTTTCCAAGCTCAGAGGACTGGAGTAGGCGGTAGTGTTGCATCCTGTTACATAGCTTTAGCTTTTTATAGATGCTCTGTTTTTATGAGTATGCCAACAAATGATTAGGCGAAGTATGCAGGAATAACATGACCACAGATGACTAAACTGTCAACATGTCTCTTTATCTATAAATATATATTGTTAAACAATGTCATGCAAACATGTTTGTGAGTCATAATTGATTGAGCAACAGCCAGCATGACAACAGTCTGCTTCTGCACTGATAATGAGATTACTGGTTCATCAGTTTATACCGCAGTCGATCATTTCATTCATTTCTTGCCCGTAATTTCGAATGTGATTCATGTAATACTTAATTATGTAACAAGTGATTAAATTGTGCCAATATGGATTGGAAAAAAAACCCAGCTAATCTTCTGCTGTCACATTTCCATAGACTGTAGTCAGGGCCGGTCCTAGCGTTTTGGGGGCCCTAAGCAGATTTTCAGATGTTTCGCCTAACTACCCGCATCCCATCCCAATGTACACATCTTACACTGACACCTAATTGTAAAGATTTACCAATTTGTTTTAGTCAATATATTTATCTTTCAAGAAATAGATAGGAAAATATATTTGGGTAGTTGACAAATATCCAGTAAAAAACAGGAACACTATTCCTGGTCCTTCAACTAATTAAAGTTGTCCGTGGAGTTTAAAAACAGGATATGGTGTCACACCAGAGGACATAGTTTTCAGTGACATAATGTATCAAGTTCATATGCTTTTAGAAATATATGGATTAAAAATGATTGCCAATTACTAAAATAGACACTTGTAAAATTATGCCCGAGTTATTTATTAACAATTGTATGCATTTCTTTTTAATTTATAAAAGTTGTAATTTATTGAACATCCTTGAGACAGTCACACCATAGGACAATTTTGAGATTTAGCTCAAAAATGTAAAAAAAAAAAATAATCTAATAACAAAGCAGTTTTTATAACAATGGGTCGGTCCATGTAAGACAAAGAAATTTTAAATTATGACAATATTAATTATTTCTGGGCTGGCATGACAGTCCAGATTAAAATGCAAAAATAATCAAATATAAGTGTAAACACATGTTGAAACAGATTTAAGCAACATTAAAATGAAGGCAAAAATCTGAGACGAGATGAGACACGAGATAGGGTTCACAAGAATGAGACTAGACAAGATTTTTACACTATTTTAAGAAATCTTCAATGATTTTTTTACACTCATAGACTTTGTTACCATTGCCATGCATTATAAGACTGATGGACACCAAAGGTTGGACTTAAAAATCATCATATGTGTTCTACTAACTAATAAGTGCAACCATAATCAAAGTAGGCTACTCTCTCAATATTCAAATCAAAGCGCAAACAGAAACCAAAATTTTCTTCAAGCATGATACAGAGCTAAGAGATGGTTATAACTACACATCCTATTATAGTGTGCATACTAATTACAGCCTAGATATTGTATGCAGCCTAATTTGCATGCATCAGGGAGCCGCAGCCGCTCTCAAACTGCTGGTATTGAAATTGCGTTTGAATGCGCGCACGCATCCTTTTTAGTTTCGCTTTCGATTTCGCGATCGGGACCGGAGGTGCTGAGCGCGCATTGCATTCTACAAGATTTGTCAGACACTTACAGTGCGTGTCCACGAACGGTTTTAATTAATTCCTATGGAAGTTCGGCTTCAGAGAACGCTCCAGCTCAGCTCTGCTGTTGCCATCTCCACCATCATCTCGCCTTACTCCCGTGATTGCTGTCTGAACTCCTGACACGGGGCCCCTGGTGGCCACGGGGGCCCTATGCAGCCACATAAACAGTATCGCTTATTAGGTAGGGCCGGCACTGACTGTAGTGACAGTGTTTGTAAGCGGTTCAGGAATATTTCTGCATAATAGACTTAAGTGGCACATTTTAAAAATGTATATGCGAATACAGTAGGTCTCCCTTTGTCAGCCCTGCTGGAAAAAAAACAATAGACACAATCACAGAATTTGTAATGGTTTTACTGGTTATAATGGGACTTGTATTGGTTTTAATGGAAACTGTGATGGTCTCTGAGGGTTTCTGATAATTGGTCGCCTTGTTAAAACCAATAAATCCTAATGCAATATGTCCCAAAACACACTACAGAAAACCATTTTTAATGGTTTTAATGGTTTGTAATGTTTGTAATGTGGAAACTTCTGTGATGGTTTCTATTGTTTTTTTTTACCAGCAGGGAGGGAGTTTATAATTGCAATATACTGTAGCCCCAGAAAATATGGGTTTTATAGGGTATTTCTTTCGTTCTGTCATCATTTACTCACCCTCATGTTGTTTCAAAGTTTTAAGACTTGCTTTCTTCTGTGGAAAATAAAAGGAGATATTTTGAAGAATTCTGGAAACCAAACAACACTGGAGTCCAGTCCATTGTTTTTTTATATGTCATACCTTTCAAATTTATTTTTCCGTGCTCTAATGTCCGGGACAGAAAGAAAAAGATACAGCGTCGTTTAGTGTATTAAAGTGGGTGAAAGAGGGAATTTGTGTACTGCTCATTCTTCAGAGCGAACTGGATGTAATTTTAGGATAAAAATAACCATATCTTGAAGGGAACGCTAATTAACAGGTTGTTTTACCCTGCAACTGATACAGGACAAGCTAACATAAACTATTTTTAACTGAACGCTACCTCTCTCTCTCTCTCTCTCACGCACATATATCACCTTGTTGCCATAGTCGCATAACATAACAACAATCTTTTGCGATTTTGCGACTTTGTCATGGAAGACGGTAAATTGTACCCAAAATCGTGCAAATTTAGTGAACATGACAAGCTGGTTAATATTAAGTCCGTTCCCCTCAAGCTCACACAGGTGTCAGCGCTGTACGTTCACGTTTAATGGCCAAAAAAGTGTCTAAATACTTATTTGGTTTGAGTTTGAACTGTATTCCTTTTGGTATTTCTGTACAGTTAGCATTCGCAACCTAAGTGTATTTTGTGAAATCTGTGTGCTTGTGCTCTCATAAAAATAAATGCAACCTGGTTTGATAGCTATTTTATGTTTAATGCGATGATATTTACAATTTTATATGTCCAAATACATTTTTTGTGGTCACCAATCATCCATGACCTCTTTTTTCCAGTTTCACACGTAATACAGCATTTTCAGAGCGTGAGTGTTGTCTGAGTGGCGGTGAAAGACTGAAGTGTCGCTGCCCTTTGAAGAGAAATGTTATGGGAGTTGTAGTAACCGGCTAACGTGTAATATCTCATGCAACGTCCGTATAGGATCTTAGGAAGATCTTTTTATTCGTGACAGACGAGTTTGGTTAAAGTTTACAAATATTAAAGCGCGAGTTCTAGCATCATTCGTTTTGTAGTTTCACTCAAGTCTCACAATAGCGTAAAAAACTACGTTTCCCATCATTCTCTGCATGACGTATAACAATGTTGACATTGCGTACGTGTGAATCAGATGTCTGTATATGGAGTAGTCATGACCAGGAATGACTCGATCTTAACGGTATTCCTAAGGCTGCGCTTAAGCTTTTACACATGGTGTCGATTTTGATGGCCTAAATAAGAAGGTAATCTCTGAAACGGGACTTGCACTTGCTATAGCAGAAGGAGCAAGGCGCGTAAAGTTGAACGTCAAGTTGACGCCGGACACTTGCGCGTTATGATGCCACGAGACAACATGACTTCCACTGTCCAGAAAATCGCCAAACAGGCCCTCACGACATTCCGCCACCCCTCGGCTGTGGGAGAACACAATAAAATGTTTTTGGAAAATCTGAGCAAGCTGAAAAGCCTTATGGCGGAGGTCAGAGCGGCGGATTTGAAGATTGTTCCCCGGAGCGTCGAGAGCGCACCGATGCCGTCGCAGCGCATCGCGCCTCCCGTTACATACATGCACATCTACGAGACCGACACGTTCAGCATGGGGGTGTTTTTATTAAAAACGGGCGCTTCCATACCGTTGCACGATCATCCGGGAATGTACGGCATGCTGAAAGTGATTTACGGCAAGGTACGGATCAGCTGTTTCGACAGGTTGGCTAAACCTCGAGATGGTGCCAGCGGCGTGCAGTTCAACCCTCCGCTCATGCCCTTCCAGATGAGCTCGCTTCGGCCTTCGGTGCTGAGGTCGGTGGGGGAATACACGGAGGAGAACGGTCCGTGTGTGCTGTCACCCCAAAAGGACAATATCCACCAGATAGACGCTGTTAACGGACCCACGGCTTTCCTTGACATCTTATCACCGCCATATGATCCGGATGAAGGGAGAGACTGCCATTATTATAAAGTTTTACATGCCCATTCAGAGGCTGCAGACAGAAAGAGTGAAGCCCAGGAACCAGGTGACCTGTGGCTTATGGAAATCCCACAGCCTAGTGAATTCTGGTGTGGTGGAGAACCTTACCCAGGGCCTAAAGTGTCCCTCTGAAGGATCTGACTATAAACTGGGTTCAGCCTTAATCAAGAGATTCTGTGTTCTTTTCTTTACATGACAGTCTAGCTACCTTATCAAGGGGACAGTGGTTTATATGAAATACTTAGGCACTTATCACAGCTGCTGTCTTTAACTTTAATTGTCTTTTGGCTACATGCGTCCATACATTTCCAGTGTGTTGCATGCAAACTGTTCTGATTTTGTGTGCAGGTTCGACAAAAGAACTAGTCTCTGTTTTTTCTCTGTTGCCTGGATTCACTTTGTATAGCATTTGATAAATATTTAAATATTTGCAGCAGATGTGAGATTTGGTTTAACAAAGGCTTCAAAGCCTGTCAGAGCAGGAATCTGCTCATCTTGTTTCCACAGCTATATTGTGTTAATAATGCATTAAGCGATCAGAACACTGAAATGTTTAGCAACAGGCTTGACAACACTCACTTGACAAATTGGCATATGCAACGCTGGATACTTATTTGAACACTCCTGGTAATTATGACAATAAAGCACTTAGCCAGGATGACGAGTTAATGATTTAATAAAATTAATAAGACAATATGAACTGAAGAATGTGATGTGAATTTTACATAAGGAATGAAGAATGTGATGTGAATTTTACATAAGGAATGAAGAATGTGATGTGAATTTTGCATAAGAAGTTTGTTTTTCCTCAGACTTTGGCTAATAAATAATGCAATAGAAACTGGTCTTGTTGATTATTTAAATAAATTTTACATTCTTTACAGCCAACATGCACTACAGTAGAAAGGTCTCTTATGCTCACCAAGGCTCCTTTTATCAAAAAATACAGTAAAAACAGTAATACTGTGAAATATTAGAATTTCAAGTAATAATTTTCTGTTGTAACATATTTTAAAATGTAATTTATTCCTGTGATAGCGAAGCTAAATTGTACCCATTCTTCAGGGTCACGTGATCCTTCATAAATCATTGTAATATGCTGATTTGGTGCTCAATACACACGTCTTATAATTATCAGTGCTGAAAAGAGTTGTGCTGCATAATATTCAAATATTTTTGCTGAATATAGCCTGACTATAATATTTGAACTGAATATATAAGTTCAAAAGAACAGCATTTATTTGAAATAGAAATATTTTGTAACATTACAAATGTCTTTACTGCCAATTTAATGCGTCCTTGCTCAATAAAACTCAATTTCTTTCAAAAAGAATCGTATTACAATGTATGTTTTACTTGCAACCTGCCCTTAGTTTATCAAAGGGCGACCTCTAGTGTTATAACTTCGTAATGCCATACAGCATTCCACTGATTCTCAAAAGATTACACCTTGTGTTTATTATAATTTTATTCAGACACATAACAGTAATAATGTCAATAAAAAGACTCACTGTAAACACTATATTTATAACAACTGCAATTTGCACCACATGAAATATTCTCTGATAAGGACGTTGTCTAGATACTACAAAAGACCACATTCAACACTTAAATCATAAGCTGCCTTCGTATATTTGTGCGCACACACACACAAAAAGTTCCAGGTTTAAATGGGACAACGACTAGCTATCCCAGCAGTCAGAGCTTGTTAAACTGTAGTTCACATCGCTGTACCGCCGGCGCTCGAGCTGTGAGGAGGCGCGGACCCCTTTTTATCTTTCTGTCTCTGGTGGATTTTTGTGTGCCTCCTTCGCTCGTCGCTCCTGGCGAACTTTCTGCCGCAGAAGTCACAGGAGAAGGGCTTCTCTCCAGTGTGAGTGCGTATGTGCGTCGTGAGGTGGTCGCTGCGGCTGAAGCTGCGCATGCAGATGCTGCACTGGAACGGCCTGTGGCCGGTGTGGATGCGCACGTGGCGCGTCAGCTCATCCGAGCGCGAAAACCTCCGGTCGCATCCCTCCGCCGGACAGGGGTACGGCCGCTCGTGGACCGGGGTCTTGCACGGTCGGTTCGGGTATTTCCGTGGCCGCAGAATCGGCCTGAGTGGGACGCTTTGCGGATTGATGCAATCCACAGGCGGCCTCGGCCCGTCAACCGGACACGCCAGAGTAAAATTTCTAATGGTGTTCAAGGGAGTCAGAGGTGGGGGGACTCTGATAGACTCCAAAGCGCACGAAAATGGCTTGATGTCCTGAAACACAGCCATGTTGTCCCTTTGGCTGTTGCTGGTCTGATAAAACCCCCCATAGTCTGGAATGATGGAGAAAAGCGTCCCGTCTATAGATGGCTTTGGGGTTGAGTAGGATGGAGTTGCGTAAGTTATGGGGCACGTGGTGGTCGATAGGTAAGCCGAGGGGTCCTGGTAACCATCGGCACTACAGGTGTAAGGGGGCGGGCCTGTGTACATATGCTCCATGTTGGCAAGGGTTTGAGCTATTTTGGAGCAGTCTGGGTCTGACGGGGAGCCCGTGGAGAATGATCCCGGGGAAGGTGGCCTATCTTGCACTCCTGCGCTGACAAAGTTGATTATTCCCTCCTGATTCCAGCTTCCATGCGCGTCGATGGAAACCTTCCCTGTGTAGGCGACAGTCGCGCTGTGTGGAGAAAACTTGCTCGGGTCTGTCAGTTCAAGGTCCCGTTTTTCCACGCCGAAGCTATCGGTGCTCAAGCCACCTGTAGGAGTAAAAACAAGACGTTTCTTTAGAGCAATACCCTCTTATTGCGTGTGTTTCCATCAAATCACGTATTCGGCACGTGGTGTCTAGGAATATTCAGTAAGCTATTTGTTTTCAAAAGATAGTATGTATGTGGCAAAATATAGGCCTATGCGGGTAGCTCTTGATATTCTGGTTGGACCAAATAGATCGCAGTAAAATAGTCTATTTTTAGTCTCTAATACTGAATTTCCTTCCACTAAATGAATGGGAGAGGAGATATAAACAGCCTATTCAGAGTTTTATATTAAGATTATAGCCTAATGAAAACCTTTTTGCTCCAATGTGAGTTTGCTTTTAAAGTCAGCTTGTGTATAGACACGTGCCTTAAAGTTTTGGCTACAAAAAGATTGAATATTTCCTTATCCTTTGTATAAGTAGCTATTGGATTTTTTACTGTTGAAAAAAAAAACAGTTCATTGAAGACACGTTCAGTTTGTGACAACGTGCCCCGATATAAGACGGATTATCATAGGCTAGGCTTTTTACCGCAATACATAGCCTACACAATAAAACATGAACACGTGAAATTAATAAAAACAACGAAAAAGTAAAAAGTAACGTGGAAGAAATTAATAAATTGTGAAAATGTACAAAAAGCATAGCCTATGCAATGAGATGACGGCAGTTCATGCATAGGCATTATAATGTTAATTTGTTTACCCAACAACTATTCCATATGATGATGGAAGCTCAGAAAATATTCCAATTCACTCAAGTTTTAAACTTGGTGTTTGAAACCAACTTATAAACAAGCAATCAAATAAGCAAACGAGCACAGGACAAACGGGCATTTTTGTTTTACTCAAAAACGTATGGTTAGCCTTTTATTTTTGTAAGCACCCTAATATTTTCTTACCTCCCGACGCCTCACTGAACTGGTCAGAACAAACCCCCACATCCCCATGAGAGAAGACTGATGCGGTGGTCTCATCCAGAGAGAATCTGTGTGATGGCAGACAGCGCATCAAATCATTCAGAGACGCATTCATTTGATCCCTACTATTAGCTGTCGCTGTCATTTTGATCCTCAGCGTTTTTTTTTTAAAGAAGTTGAATTTTATTTAGTCGTTCTCAGAGCTTTTATGGTCTAGTTGATGTGTTGTAAATATGTTCACTTCAGTGTAGTCATCATACACGCGCGCATCAGCTCACCAGCTCGCTTCATATGTGCCGCCGCAATAAGTGAAACTTTATGTCTAGTATGCATTTAAGAAGAGCCTGTCAATGCCCCATGACGTCACTGACCATACAAGGACAGAACAAGACAAAAAAAAAAAACGGGTTGGGCTTTTTTTGTTTTTTGCTCTTGGCCATGTGACGACACGAGCGCTCTGTTTAGACAGATCTCTGATTCTGCTATAACTTTAATTTGTTGTGATTGATTTGTTTTGCATATATTGATATTATGTCGAAATAGATTTGTGGTCTGTGAAACAGTTAGATGCCTTTTCGTTTTTATTGATTTTGGTGTATGTTATTATCAGGAATTCCGGTTAGGGTGCATCCCATAAATGGATATTATCCGGTTATCTCAAACACGCCCTTTTTGACTTATATGGGACGCATCCGGGAAACTCGACACGGAAAATGACGAGCCACGCCGACTTCACGTCCCACAGAGGAACCGTAATAAAACTACATTCAGGAAAGTGATATCTGAATATGTTGGAAAGTTATTCTAGTTTCTAGAGAGTTAAGGAAACTGATGTATTAATATAGGCTACAGAACGTTTTTTTCCCCTCAGTAACAAGATCATTGCGATTAAACATCTAGATTACTAAAAAAAGACTTTAGCTAAGCTATATTGTCTTTACTGTAAAAAATAAATCGGTAAAATAACAGAAAAAGTAGCCTACAGACAGCTCATTACTGGGACAGTATCCATTAATTTTACGGACATTTCTGTTCACTCTAAAACACAATGCAATAAAGTGTAAAACTCAAAATACAGGTAAAACAACTGAAAAATAAAATAAAATATATAAATACAGAAAATTACAGAGTGTACCTTGTAGGATTGCAAACAATTTTAATATTTAACTAGACCCATATTTTTAGACTTTCACAGCATCTAGAAGCTGTCAGTGGATAACAAAATATGTCAACTAATTGCAGGCACTATTAGTTTCCATTTGGTTTTAAATACTTATGCATATGATATATTTAGCATATTTATGATATAGCCCTCTGTTGTAAGGTCTTATCTCGCTCAACATGACTGACACATGTAAGGCCGTCGGCTCTTCATCATCTCTCTCGTCACTTTTAGTTTTTCTGCCACCATGTTCTATTTTCATCCATGGCAGCATGAGCAACAGAGCGTTTGCTGGATGTGCGACTGAGGCCTAATTCATAGCCACCCACACTATGGAACAGCCCCTTCTCCATGGAGCCCTAGCGAAAGTGGAGCCTCTGTGAATAGATCTGCATCTGCCCTCCTCTTACTTCTGTACAGACACCCCCAGCCTGCCTGACTTCTCTCTGTTCTCATTCACACTCGCCCACATGCACAGCACTGCATGCTGACTGAGCCTCTGTGCATGCCAGTATTACACACTACAAACCCAGCTCTTGAGATCTTATTTAATAGATCATAGTTGGATTTAATATGAAAAGATTAAACTATAAATGCTTTATCTACTGTTTCCAAACATGAAATCATAACATGTGAATGATTTTTATAGGTTTATTGCCTGAAAGTTTGAAACATCATGCAAAAGTAAATTGAACAGTTCATATCAATAGATGCTTTACTAGACTGAATATCTATCTATCTATCTATCTATCTATCTATCATCTATCTATCTATCTATCTATCTATCATCTATCTATCTATCTATCCATCTATCTAATCTTTATTTATTTATTTTGTTTGTTTGTTTGCTTC